TGTATTAATTCAACTGTGAACCTAAAAATTTACAGCCAATTTTGAAAGAGATGCATCTTAGCTCTGGAAATTGTTATTAAATATGTCAATGCTGTTGTAATGAAATGCTTCTTCTAATTATGAGGTTATTAAATAAATAATTTAAAAAAATAAGGGTAAAAATTATTATTCTATTTTATGTGTGAGGGTATTGCTTGCATGTATGTAAGTGCACCCATGTCATGCAATGCCCATGGAGATCAGAAGAGGGAATCTGATCCTCTGGAACTGGAGTTATAGATGGTTGTTAGCTGCCTTGCAGATGCTGGGAACCAAACCTGGGTCCTCTGCAAGAACAGCCAGTGCTCTTAATTGCTTTGCCACCTCTCCAGCCCCCATTTCTTCTTCTAAACTGCTGTGCAACTTGCTACATAAATGGGGTTTTTACTTTGCTATAATCATAGAGAACTTTAAAGTTTTGACATTTTGGTTATAATTTTCCTTATCCCACATTTTATAAATATAAAGATAATTCTTTTCCCCAAGAATGTTATAATATTTCCCATAAATAATGAAAAAAACAATATTTTAAACTTGACAGTTAAAATATGGATATAACAGGATCAGGTCACTAGAGTCCCCGAAGGAGAATCTAGGAGTCTGGCCTTTGTCCTGCATGGAATGGACAATGGTCAGATGTGTTTAGAGATATGCTAAGGACATCGCTTATATTTAAGAAGAAATAATTCTGGAAAGAAGCATTAAATGTCCCCTATTCAAGTATATTTTGAGAATTTCAAATGAGATCATCATCACACATTTCAAAAAGTGCCTGGTGCCTGGTGCATGCTTCTTGACCGTAGCTGTCGTGATGATTGTTGCTGTTGTAGAGCACATTTCATGAGAGAAACAGCATGTAGTATGTAAACTTTTACAAACCAGAAGCTAGACTCAGTTGGCACACCTGTAATCCTAGTCCTTAGAAGGCTGAGGCAGGAAGATTGGTACAAGTTTGAGACCAGCCTGGGCTATAGAGTGAGACCATGTCTCAAACAAACAAAGGAGGAGAAGGGGGAGGGGGAGGGGGAGGGGGGGAAGATAGATTTTCAAAATGAATAATCTGGGACTGGAAAGATGGCTCAGCAGTTAAGAGCCCTGGCTGCTCTTGCAGAAGACCTAGGTTTGGTTCGCAGCGTCCGCGTGGTGGCTAACAACCATCCCAAACTCTAGCTCCAGGGGATCTGATACCCTTTTCTTACCGTGTAGGCACTGCAAGATATGGATGCACTTACATACATACAAGCAATACACTCATACACATAAAATAAAAATAATAAAATATAAAAATACTACCGAACAATCGTTTAGGGTTTCCTCCCTACTACCCCAAACAGCTGTCTTCAGTTTTCCGTCTAGAAAATCCTGCTGTAATTAAGAAAGAGGCCAAGACACGAGGAAAATAAAGCTCTTTGGAAAAAAAACAAAAAAACAGGGGGCTGGGTGAGGTGGCACACACCTTTAAACCCAGCACTTGGGAGACAGAGCAGGCAAATCTCAGTGATAGCCAGCCTGGTCTACATAGTGAGTTCTAGGCCAGCTGAGGCTACAGGGAGACCCTGTATCAAAAAAACCAAAAAAAAAAAAAAAAAGTTAAATTCTTATACTCTGTGTTTTCCCCAAGTTTGTGTGCCTGTGTCAGAACTTACTCAAATGGATTCTGGGTCCTGCATCCAAGACTAAATTATAGCTCAATCCTTAGATTGAACCCCTGAATATATTTGAGGTAAATAAATTGGTGATTTTACATATTACCTAAATCTAAGCCTAGTGTGAGCATGGGGATCCTGTTGTGAGATTGAATATGAATCTAACTCAAAGCCTATTCAAAATCTTTTTCAATTTTCAATTTTATTTGTGTGTGTGTGTGTGTGCGTGTGTGTGTGTGTGTGATCAAAGCCTAATTTTTTACTACTTGTTACCTACTAATAATTGGGAGAACAGTTTATTAGAATGACCGGGATTTGACTAAGCTTTACATACCTCAACCAGTGAAGGGTTTGAAATCTCTATCACACATATGTTCATCTAAGTGAGATGTATAATCATGATTGAAGACGGCATGGTATAAATGCTAACCTTTATCAAAAGGCTTAAGTTCTATCTGTATACTCAAATGCTTCTGTTCCTTAGAATAAAATAAGACTATGTAATATACATTATTGTCAGTATAGAAGATCCCTCGGCATTTTGAAGTGGAGTATTCCATGTGCCACTCTAAGATCAAAGTCTGCCCTTCTCAGAAACTACAGGTGCAGAGCTTAGCACAGACGGCTGGTTTGCCCTCATTAGTTGCCATTACCATATGCTATTTGGATATTTCTCTGGCCTCCTGGATTTTTGAACCCCTTGGTGACTTTATTTAAATCATGGATCTTAGGCATATGATGTGACCTTCAGGTTAGGCTGACATTTCCATAGGGCAACTCTTATTAGCAACACTGTTTTGCAAATGTCAGAGGTTTTCAGAAAGAATGTTCTTACACTAAATGCATTGGAGCTAGCAGAGTAAGCTTTCAGTGCCCCTCTATCATTCATATCACATGTACCCATGTACATACATAGCCTAATTCATAGACTCCTGGGACACTGAATGCTGGAAACATCTCTTAAAAATCAAGTTTCAGGGACTAGAGAGATGGCTCAGTGTTTAAGAGCACCCACTGCTCTTGCAAAGGACCCAGATTTGATTCTCAGCACACACATGGCAGTTAATACCATCTGTAATTCCAGTTCCAGGGGAATCTAATGCCTTCATCTGACTTCTGCAGGCATTGCACAACACGGGTGCACTTACATACATGCAAGCAATACACTCATATACATAAAATAAAAATAATAAATAAAATATTTTAAAAAATCAAGTTTTCCTACCAATATAGAAGCTTCTTAAAGTGTATACATATGCATCATTAAAAAGATTAAAATGAGTTATCCTATAACAAGGGGACATTGCTCTTTCTAGACATCATAGGGAATGAAAAAAAACAAAACAAAAACCTCAACGCCAGGAATGGACTCCCTCTCTAGAAGCTGTGGACCAGGGGGCCCATAAACCCTCAAACAATACTGATCATTACCCTGCTCTTGGTTACCGCCGGAACTGGATGGTAAGGCTCTGTTGCTGAAGACACTACATATGTGAGCTGTAGAATAAACAAGGAGAAATCAAGCCGATGCTGACGTCAGAGCCTCATTTCTACCGGCTAGCATCCATAGTGCCGGAAGGTGCTGTGCACAGTACTAAAAGGCTCTGTGAACCCTGCTGTGAATCCTGTGAACTACGAGACCTACAATAACAACTGGCCTGGCAGGATATGCCATCAGTGCAATAGTGGACAAGTTATGAAAGTAACCAACCACTCTTTAATTAGATTTAAGATCTGCTTCCTAGGATTGAACCCACATCTGATGTTGATATCTGGCTTAGGAACTTGAGGCTAGACAGGACACAGGACATAGGGGAGAACCTAGTTATCACATCAAACCAACTCTAAATGAATTGTTGCTATGCCCATAGATTAATGCATCTCTCATCTCTCATCAGAGAAGTTTCCTTATGCAGCAGATGGCGGTTAACACAGAAACCCATAACTGACCTCTTGTTCAGAGAAGAGGTTGCAGAGTGCTTATCCCTGAATAGGATACCTAGATCAAACTTCTACCTCCCAAGGCTCAGGGATCATTGTGGAAGAGGGGAAAGAAAGACTGTAAGAGCCAGAGGTGGTGGATGACCACAAGGAAACAGAGTTTTCCAGATAGCTGGTCAGTTACTCTTATGAACTCATAGCAATGGTGACAGCGTGCACAAGTTCATACAGGTTCAAACTAGATAAAATTCCAGCCTAGACATGAGGAAGTGGATAAGATGCTCCAATCCCATGTAAAGAGATTGGGACACTTGGTAGGTTAACTGGGTTCCACTGGATGGATCCACACTGCTGGACATTTGGGGACACACATTAAATTGTATAGGGATATTTTATATATATATATGTATAAAACAGAGTACATTAAGTTATGCGGGGGACGATAAGGGGAGGTGCAGGATAGGGGAGGGAATCTAAAGATTATCAAATTATAGTGTATGAAAATTTCAAAAATTCAGTTAAAAATAATACTACTAATGATATTGTTGACTTGATAATATAAAAGATGTTTCAGGACTGGAGAGATGGCTCCGCAGTTAAAAGCACTGGCAGCTCTTACAGAGGATCTGAGTGTGGTTCCAGCACCCACGTGGGGCTACTCATAACCACCTGTAACTCTGGCTCCAAGGGATTTAATATGTTCTTTTGACCTTTGCAAGCATGTGCAGCATGTGCGTGCGCGCACACACACACACACACACAGAGGAATATTTTTATTTAAAATTAATATAATAAAAATAAAGGATGCTTTTATTATTCTAATTTAACTGATAAAAAACTGAAGAAAGATAAAAAATGATTTGGGTTCACAGAATGGGGTAGTGTGTAAAATGGGAAACGTCGCTCATCAGACACCCACATCGCTGTGACATCTCCTCGCTTGACCCCACAAGTGCCCCATCTGTGCACTGGAAAAGTACGGAAAGAGGCTGACGATCTACCTAGAATGTTCTTCTAGTAAACCCTTCACTTGGAGAATAGAGGAAACAAGGAGCTAGATGCAGGTCTGACCACCTAGAATCCTTGTTATCCACCTGCCAATCATCTATCTGGGTGTGACTCCAGGGTCTTCATGGGAAGGAAGAGGAGCCCAGGCCTGAGTCCACATGGTGTCTCTCTCCTATCATGCCCTTCTGGATTTCATTCCCTCAAAGGGGTCACGGAACTGAGGCCTCTCGCCTCTACACTTCACTGCACTCTGTATAAAGTTAAACCCTGTCAACCTTCTGTCACCCCAGGGGACATTCATGAATTCTGACTAGCTAAAAGGGCATTTCTGACATATGGTTGACAGTTGAAATGTAAAGATCAATACTTTTTGTCATTGGGCTTCAGTGATCTGAAAACAAGCTAGACGGGGTGGCGGGGGGTGGGGGTTACCTTATCAAGCTGGTTGTAGAAATCAATGTTTGCTGCACACAGATACCGTCCAAGTAGTGTGGCGTGTGTTGTAAATACTGTGGCAATGGGAAGTTTCCTGGCTCGAGAAAGGATCAGCCCGGTTCCAGCCTGCCATTCATGGAATTGGGCAATGATGTGTTTACCGTCTGCATGGTCTGCCACCTACATCAGAAGAAAAGCCTTTAGAAAAGAGACTGGTGAAGCTTCGTCTTGACTGTTGTCCACTGTAGAAGGAGAGATGCAGAGATGGGAGGTCTGTAAATCACATCGCAAGTTAAAAGGGGCCCAACGTGAAGCACGCCTAGTCAGCAAGGGGAAGCGTTCTGTAGGGTTCAGTGACGTGTTCACCATGTTTTTATGTCTTAATCCTCCCTTTCAGTGATGCTTCAGATTTATTTTTGTGTAAACACGAGAATAAATACAAACATTAATAATACTGATGAATGTTAATAAATTAATTAGATGCACAGTCAACACTCAATGGGTAGATGAATCAATAACAAAAATAATGCTTTTGAAGAAATCGCTGAACATTGGAATCCATCTATCCATTGAGGCTTGTTTTCAAATAAATAAGTAGTTCTTTTTTTTTTTTTTTTTTTTTTTTTAAAACAGGGTCTCTGGTAGCCCCAGCTGGAACTCACTATGTAGACCAGGCTGGCCTGGATCTCACAGAGATCCACCTGCCTTTGCCTCCTGAGTTCTGGTGTGCACCGCCACACCCAGTGCTGAGTCCATGTTTTAAGTCTTATTTGGGCTTTCTCTTCCTTAAAGCCCAAAGCATTTTAACTGATATATTGTTATTCCAAGAATATGGAACCAGGGACAAAAATTCTAACAAGTTGTACAGGTTAAATAGCAGCTCACTGGAATGCTGAGGACTGGGTCTAATCCTATGCCAAATCACATCGGCATCGATAATCATCTTTGTCTTAAGGGTAACTTGTTTCCTTCACCCCCTTAAAACATTAACCTCTGGCTGGGGGTGTGGCTCAGTGATAGAGCCCTTGCTTAGCATGCTCAAGCCCTTGGCTCGATTCCCAGAACCACGCACCAAAAGAAGCACCTTGACCACACTCTCGCCATCAGCTGGTCACTTCCCAAGTTCATCTAGGAAGTTTGAAGGGTGAACCTCAGAGTGGACATCAACACCACAGGAAGATGCTAATCGCCCAAGTCCTCTCTCCAGACTCTTCAGCGTTCTGGGCTGCAGTGACAATCTGAGTCATCTACCAGTTCACAGATGGTCCAAATAAAGATTCATTGAGTACCACTGGCTTAGGCTAAACCCTCTGAAATGTTTTTTTTTTTTTTTGAGGTAGGGTCTCACTCTGTAGCCCAGGATGGCCTTGAATTTATGACAATCCTCCTGCCTCTGATTCAAAAAATGCCAGGATTACTGGCATAAGCCCCCTTGCCTGTCAATCCTCTGAAATCTAAACTACCTGATCTTCAAAATGGTCCTTATAGCTCTTAACAGTTTTCCAGAGGTGGCAATGCAGACAGGGCTAGCCTGGTCATCTTAGATTTTCTGTTTTATTTTGGATAAAATTGGGAATCTTCTTTTTATGTCTCTCCTTATTGCCTTAATAGGAAAGGGTAACACCCAGCTTCCTCCCCCACCACACCACACATCCACAGGCACCAAATATATGCACACACCAAACATACACACGTACACCAAGCACACACATATGCACACCAGACATTTGCATGCCAAACACACACACCAAACTCAAACATGCACACCATATATGCATGTACCTTGCACACTAAACACCTCCCCCAAACACACACATTCCAAACACACTAACACACCACACATAACATGCACAGCACATACACACTCACACCACTTGGTGACTGACCTCACCTTGGAGCCATGGCTCAGGGAGGAAGACTGTAGAGAAAGGACAGTGCTACAGGCCTGAATCACTGCCATCAGGATGGGTTTTTGTTGAAGCCCTCACCCATCTCCTCCTGTATGATCACCATCATGAAGCTCCCATCCACCTTCTCCTTTAATCCCAGTCAGCCCTTTATGGGTACTAGAGCAGAACCCCATCAGAAGGATGTGTTAAGGAGAACACCATCACAACACTTTGTCCTTAGCCCCTCTTCTTTGCTAGGGGCCTTGCTCCTTCACAATCAACTTTCAGGCTAGGTATAACCATCTGGAGGTGATGCAAAAAAATCCTAGTGCCAAGCTTTGAGGAGTTAAGAGAGTGACTCATTTCATAAAATATGGTTTCCGCTGTGCTTGCTTCTGTACAGCTTTGGAAATTCTACTGTAACAGACTCCTAAGTAACTTCTGAGATCACCTCAGCCCTTAGACAGTAAAAGAGAGATCAAAAAAGCACTCGTGTCCACACAGAGTGCAATGTTTCAAGCTCTCATCACTGCTGAGATTCTAGAATCTATGTGCATATTGCATGATGTAAGATGTTTCTTTTTCATGGCTCAGTGGTTAAGAGCACTGGCTGCTCTTACAGAGGACCTAGGTTCAATTCCCAGCACCCACATCGTGGCTAACAAGCTTCTGTAACTTCAGTTCCAGAGGAATTGACATCTTCTTCTGACCTGCATGGGCATTTCAAGATGCAGGTGCACTTATAATACATGCAGGCCATACACTCACACACATAAAAAATAAATAAAATAAAAATAAATGAAAAGATATTTCTTTTTTCTTATATATCCATCACATATCATCTAACTAGGCAATGCAATTGGATGTTTATACGCCTCATTCCAGTTAACTATTACATGACATATAGTAACAGATATTATTATTACTCTGTTCCAAACGCTGGCATTTAGTTGAATCCTATATATTTCCTTGGAATCCTCAAAAATATGATAATAACAATCAATAAAGGAATTCTCTCTAAATTCCTGGGTCATGGCTGGGCCATTAGTGTAGTATTCAGCCTTTTCTGTTGTGTTGCTATCCAATAACCTGTACATACCTCTTTTAAGAACCAGGCAGTTAAAGACCCAAATATGAGCATATCATTGGCTTCTCGGTCATGATGAGGGATGCCAACACCGCAGGCTTCCCAGAAGTCGCCCTTCCACCGATCCAGATTCTGTGCTGAAGAACCGATGTCAAAAAGCACCACATAGGGGCTCCCCTCTATCAGCCATCTTCCAAAATGCACCTGTCACGGGAAGAAAACAGCCATTTGTGCGCTAAGTAGCATAAAAGAGGAATGTGTATTTTCGCTTAGAGGGTGTAAACGTTATTTGGAGACCACTGTGGTTTGAATGTGGCATGGTCTGCAAATGCGCAAATATTTGAGCACTTGGTCCCCAGGTGGTGGTGTGGTTTGGGAAGATTATGAAGTTTTTAGGAGGTGGAGCATCATTGGAGGGTTTGAGTCACTCAGGGTAGAACTTGAGGTTTTAAAGCCAGGCCCCACTTCTTGTTAAGTCTCTCTTCCTGAGGGCAGATGCAGGATGACAGCCAGCCTCTGGATCTCACAGACTCTTATTGTTAAGATTTATTTATTTATTATTTATTTATTTATTTATTTATTGGTCTTTTTGAGACAGGGTCTCCCTGTACCCCCAGCTCTCCTGGAACTTACTATGTGCAACAGGCTGGTCTTGAACTCACAGAGATCTGTCTGCCTCTGCCTCCCAAATGCTGGGATTAAAGGCATGCAGCTGTACTTTTATTTTTATTCATGTATATCTGTGTGTATGCACATGTGAATGTATATGCCTGAGGGAGACAGAAGAGGGTGCTGAATCCCCTGGAACTGGAGTACAGGTGGTTGTGAGCTACCTGATATGGGTGTTCAGGAACCAAACTCGTCCCCTGCAAGAGCAGCAAGTATTCTTAAATGCTGATCCGTCCTCTAGTACCTCACAGACTCATAAATTGCACATTGTGTTCCCTAAACCTGGAGTGTGCCTCTTAGTCACCACTACTCACAGGTGTCAGGAGGCAGCAGTTCTCATATTTTACCCACAAGAAATTATTCCTATGTTAGTTTGAAAGTTACTATTTCTTAAATTTCATTGAAATTTTAAAAGACTTATTTGTTATGTGTAAATTGTGTTTTAGGACTTTTCTATTGCTGTGATGAAACATCATGATGAATAGTAACTTAGGGGAGAGTTATTTGGGCCTATGGGTTTGAGGAGAATGCACAATGGCAGGGGCAGAAAGCTGACAGCCACATCTGGAACCACAACATGAGAGACAGAGAGCAAACTGGACGCGGGCAAGACCGTGAACTCTCAACGCCTGCCCCCCAGTGACACATTTCCTCTGCATCGGTTTACTTCCTAAGGACTCCATGTCCTCGCAAACAGCACCACCAACTTGGGAAAAAGTGTTCAGTACTTGAGCCTGTGGGAGACATTTCTCATTCAAAACACCACGAATTATTTTTGAAACTTGTGCTATCCAAATACATTACCTTTCCTTTAAAATGAAACCTAATCACTTGGGTTTTTTCTTGACCTTCTCCTAGGCAACTTCCCTCACTATTTTTATTCTACACACACTCCAAAGTCGCTTTATCTTATTAGCATCAAAGAACTTTCACATCATCTGATTTAGCCCCCAACCCCCATACTCACACCTGTGTTCACAGCCTCATGCAAACTGGAGTTGTTCTTTCCCTGAATTCTCTGCAATATCCCACCTTAGCATCCTGTCTTGAGATCACAAGCTCCATATTCCCTTTCTCTTACTCTGTTTCTCCTTGTCCTACATGTGTGTGTGGGGGGGGTATCTGGCTGCATGTGTATGTGGAGATGTCTGGCTGCATGTGTGTGTGTGGAGGTGTCTGGCTGCATGTGTATGTGGAGATGTCTGGCTGCATGTGTGTGTGTGGAGGTGTCTGGCTGCATGTGTATGTGGAGATGTCTGGCTGCATGTGTGTGTGTGGAGGTGTCTGGATGCATGTGTGTGTGTGGAGGTATCTGGCTGCATGAGCGTGTACTTCTCCATTTCTCTTTTAGGCTTCAGTCTCCTAGAAGTCTCCCAACTTCTCTTTTATCATCACCTCCTTTTCTGGCATCATTTTGTTTCCCATCCATTTCATAAACCACAGTAGATCAACTTAACCCTTAATTCACTCACTCTCCAAATCACCTCCGATTACTGTGCCATCGTGCCCATTTTATAAAGCTGGACTAACCACCCTTGGCTCCCCGGCTGCTCAGCTTCCCACACTTTCACTCAGGATGCTGAACGCTGCTAGATAAAGTCAAAGTCAAGTATATATGTTACTAAGAATATACTGACTGCCCTTGAGGGAGGTCTAGAAATCTTTTCACATATCCCTTAAACGCTTTTTCAAATTCTCCTATTTCAACATTTGCCTCCTAAGTCTCACCTCCTAAGAGGTGTCTTTAATGCCCACTTCGCAAAGCTCAGCAAAGTTTTGGGCAAAACTCCTGAATTCAAGGACTTGCATCCATCCCTTACTTCCTGTTGAGCTTGCTTTGGACCCTCCCCTCTTCCCCATTCTTAATGAATTCCCGCTGTTCTTCATCACTCCCTTTATTTAGAGCTTTCAGCTCCTCCCCGCCTGCCAGATACTGTATTTCTTTTTGACACATAAATTGCTCATGTCTCACCTACACTTATCAAGGCCAATTTTCAAGACCACGTCCTTCTAAAGCCATTTTACTGTCTTTCCCTTCATATTGACTGGCTTACAGAGTGAAGTATCAATCAGAACCCTTACCTTGCAGCCATGCTCATTCATGGTGCTCACTGCCCTTCTGACAGCGTCGTTGACGGGCTCACACTGCTCAACTTGAGTCTTCATATTCGGCTCGAAATATGGGCCCACCAGAAAGTAATTTTCTCCCCATTCATCCGCTGTGGTTTTGGCTTTGGTTTGAATCACAGTGCAGATGCCTCCGACTGAAGAAGAAAGGGCTCTGTTATTGTTCCTGTTATTAGTTCAGGTGGTGGCAGAGGGATGTGCCCTCAACTCACCCGAGGCTCAATTCTCATCTTTTAAATGATGGTAAACTAGTGTTTATTTTAGTGAAAAAGAGATTAGAGCAGTAACACTAAAAGTGAGGCCTATGGGTTTGGGAATATAGCTCAGTGGTAGAGTGCTTACCTAGCACCGTTAAACCCCTAAGTTTGGTTTGATTCCCAGCAATACACACACACACACACACACACACACACGAGCCCTCATGAAAAAGGTGATATTTGCACAAGAAAAAAACCACTTAAAAGGGTGACTAGAAAGGGTGAAAAATTAGAAGGCAAATAGATACCATGGGGAAGAAATTTTTAGGTAGTATTGATGATTAAAGACCAGGCTATACGTTGGAGGCAGAGTATAGGTGGGTAGAATAATACATGTAAAAGGGATCAGTGTGAATCTGGATCCGCATGATGAACAGAGGCTGTCAAGAGACGATCTCCAGGCAACTGGGTAGGACACTGCGCATACCAGCCCTCAGCAGTAATCATGTATCAGAATACGAAAACAACCCAAGTCACTTTCTCCCTAATATTTGTCCTTGAACTGTAGGCAAAATATGACTTGGGAAATTCACAGACTCAGGAGGTGGTGAAACGTGGTCCTAGCCCTCAGCTTAACTAGAAAAAGCTACTTATCAACTGTGTATTGAAAAACATTCATTTTTCAATGCTGTTTCTCAGGTTTTGGGATATAGGCTTTTAAAATTACTGTAACATCTTAAATTTTTTAATTTCAGTCACAATGGTTTCAAGAAGTATTATTAATAGTCACAACAATGACCACAGTTGCCTTCTACAACTTTTTATTTAAATCTCAGTCAACTCAAAATATACTTAAAAAAAATTTTTTTAATTCATGTGTGGGCTGGAGAGGTGGCTCAGCAGTTAAGAGTGCTGACTGCTCTTGCAGAGGCCCCAGGTTCAATTCCCAGCACCCATATGGTGGCTAACAACTGTCCATAACTCCATCTCCAGGAAACCTGACACCATCTTCTGACTTCTGGGGGCATTGCATGACATGGGTGCACTTAAATACATGTAGTCAATACACTCATAGACAGAAAACTTAAAGAATAATAAATAAAATATTTTTAAATTTTTGTATGTACTAGTGTTTTGCCTGCATGCATGTAAGTTCACCTTGTATATGCAATGCCTGAAGAGGCCAGAAGAGGGTGTCAGATTCCCTGGAACTGGAGTTACTAACAGTTGTGAGCTGCCATGTGGATGCAAGAAACCAAACCTGGGTGCTGTGCAAGAGCAACCAGGGCTCTTAATGACCGAGCCATCTCTCCAGCCTCTCAAGCATGTTTTTATTTGCTAAAGAACTGAAGAAGAATGTAAACCCTTCTCTTTTAAAAAATTTTTTTTATTATTTTTATTTTATGAGTACAAGTGTACTGCCTGCATGCATGTGAGTGCACCTGTGCCATGCAATGCCGCGGACATCAGAAGAGGGCTTCAGATTCCCCTGGAACTGGAGTTAAAGACAGTTCATAGCCACCATGTGGGTGCTGGGAATTGAACCCAGGTCCTCTGCAAGAGCAGTCAGTGCTCTTAACCACTGAGCCATCTTCCCAGCCCCATACACTTCCTTTTTTGAGGCAGGGTCTCATGTAGCCCAGGTTGTCCTCAAACTTGCTACATACCTGAGGATGACCGTGAACATCTTATCCTCCTGCCTCCAACCCCAACTACGAGAATTACAGACATGCACCCCCATGCCCAGCATTTAAAATGCTTTATTGGAAGAAATAAATGATCTGATTTGGAAATTGCAATGCAAAGATAAATATAGCTAATTAATTTTCTATTTCTCTTCCCTAGCAGAGGCATTCACTCCTGACATGAACACGTCCCAGAGAGTCATAGAGGGTCTACAGAGCCCATGGCTGTTCTCTTCAGTCTATCAGGAATAAAAATATAAACTTTTGAGAAGTTGAGTACCTCTGTCCCTCCTCCATCTCCCTGTGCAGTTTCCTGCAGTGCGTCCTCTTGCTAGTCCAGAAACTCAACACCCCTTCAGCTTTCCTCCCCCCATATGTAGGTGCCAAGCAGTTTTCCCTGACATTTGCTTATTAACCACACTTTGCTCTAAACTTCTCTTTATCATGCTACAGTATAAGTGAGTACAACAGAGAGAGAAAGAGAGAGAGAGAGAGAGAGAGAGAGAGAGAGAGAGAGAGAGAGAGAGAGAGAGAGAGAGAGAGAGAGAGAGAGAGAGAGAGAGAGAGAGAGAGAGAGAGAGAGAGAGAGAGGGAGGGAGAAGGAAGGAAGGAAGGAAAGAAAGAAAGAAAGAAAGAAAGAAAGAAAGAAAGAAAGAAAGAAGCACTATACTTATTTCCAAATTTGGAATAAACCAAAAAGGTTCATAATACATATTTCTTAAGTCTGCAAATGAATGCTGTTCTAGTCTCACATTTTAAATACACATTCAATATTATTCCTGAATTATTGCTTTCACACAGTCACGGCCTTTGAATTTGGACTTCAGCTTCACCTTCAAACAAGTACTTTGTATTTTATTGATCTACAAGTTTCTGGAACAATGTGGAAGCTATATTTAGCATGAGGGCAAATTGTCAGGCCTTCCACAAGCAAGAAAATATGAGGTTCCTCTGTATTTAAAGCAATGAGGCAGTTAAAGCCCTTGCATCTAGAAGCTAGGCCAATTTTACTGAAAATCACTAATCCAAAGCATAAAGTATAGGTATCAGCCAAAATAAGGACAGATCTCTCATCTTTCTCATAGATAGATAGATAGATAGATAGATAGATAGATAGATAGATAGATAGATAGATGATAGATATAGATAGATGATGTCATATGTACATTTATATACACATGTAAATATATCATATAGATTACATTTACACTTTTATATGTATTTATTATACATGTCTACATAAATAAATTTGGGGTACTCTCACTATTTTTAAAGTATTCAAGTTACAGACTTTGGAAGTCATCTGACTGTTAAGTGTATATGTCTACTAATCTGACTCTCCTCTTCCAAGTCATAGCTGTGGATCAGAAATGATTGCAGTGAGAACAGATCTGGAACATTCTCTGAAACAGTCTTCTTCAATCTAGGAAAGTGATGAGGTATTCCCTGCGCAATGGTTGACAAACACCGTGTTCAAGGCCCTTTGCAGGTCTGTGACGCAAATCAAAGAAGCTGCATTCTTGGTAGTGGGGGCTGATACATTTTGAGCAAGCTCACATGCCCACCTGCCCTGTTTATTCCTACAATGGCTACTCCAATTATTTAATAAGAGAGTGGTTTATCCTTCTCTTATTGCCAAGTTGGGTGAAAAGAAAGCAAAGGGACTGACTGTGTTTGTCTGGACGCTGTATGCATGCCAGGCAAGGTTTTACACTGGTTTACCGTAGTCGCATCCATACCAGGCAGAGAAATCTCAACCCTCAGCTACTGTGTCATCCATGACTTATGCATCCTTGACCTCTATCTTTTAGTTCTTCTTTTCTCTTACATTGAAAACTAAAATCACAAAACCACTCAAACTGAAAGCCGGTACAATAAAGCATGATCCAACTTTCTCGTTTTATGGATACATGTCATAAAAATGTATTATTAGTAAGGTAATGCTTGCAGAACATTTATTAATTGCTAATCACTAATTTATACTTAGTATTTCTTGTAATTTTCACAGAAAATTTCACCACTATAGGTGGTGATGTTATCTTTATTTTATAAATGGGGAAACTGATACATAGACTTTGTGATGGACCCAATAACATAGGTACGGGTGGAGTTGGGATTCCAGTTCAATCTATGTATATAATATTTATCTGTGCATATAATGCAATATGTACATATAATGTAATATATACATTTATATGCCACATAAAATATAACATAGATATTCGTGATATGTATCACATATGTATGCATGTATATTATAGTTCAGGCCACAGACACTAAGATCATAATTCAATATAAGAAGCAACAAGCTGATGCTTCTTTAACAGTGACTGGGGGAAATAAGGAGAAAAATGAGTAGTTTCATATAAAAATAAGCTTCATTGGGTCTTGGAGGGGTGTGGTGATAGAATCCTTTCTGTTGTGTGTTCAGAAAATCTATCTGGAAAACAAGAGCTAAAAGAGATAGCATAGGTTTTATCTTAAAACATGTTTTTAAATTGTTGTTATTTGTTTATCTATTTATTTATTTATTTATTTTTGCATCTTTTTGAAACAGGGTCTCCCTGTAGCCCCAGCTATCCTGGAATTCACTATGTAGACCAGGCTGGCCTTGAACACAGAGATCTCCTGCCTCTGCCTTCCCAGTGCTGGGATTAAAGGCGTGTGCCATTTGTAGTTTTTTAAGAGTTCGCCACACTGCTTTCCATTAGTGATTGAACAACTTTACAGCCTCACCAGCAGTGGATGAGTGTTTCCCTTTCCCCACATCCTCTCCAACATTTCGTATCATTTGTTCTCTTGATCTTAGCCAGTCTGACTGGGGTAAGATGAAATCTTAAAGTGGTTTTAATTTGCATTTCCCTAATT